TACAACAAAAACACCAAATCCACAATTTATATAAAAAAGGAACCGCTTAAAATAATTCTTTAACATATGGCAACTATTTATGTGGAAAAATCTCTTATTGCTTTCAAAAGCTGCAGCAAGAACAGTACCTAAGAACTGAGCAGTACAGTAATACATTTGGTGATAAGTTACAGCATTTACTAAGTTTCAACAGATAAGCCAAGTAACGTGCAGTTTTTTATGAACCCACAGCTGCTGGAGGAAGTTGCACCCACCAGTAGCTAGAAAATAGAAAGGATGAGTTAGTGAATACTGTGAATTTTATCTATAGTAGGCATAATCCATGAATGAAAACACACTCAACCAAAAAAAGAAACCCCTTCCATTTCAACTTCACTCTTTGAATCGCACCATCTGACTCTGGCCCTTGCAAGATGTATGCAGTTATGTGGAGAAGTTGCATTTCAACCTTCTCTCTATTATATATGCACTGTGGGCCGAGTTTTGCACTCCTCTTCAGCTTGCCCCCTCTGTGTGAGTTGGACACAAAAAAGAGCTGTATTGAACAAAATAAGATATGCTGAAAATTTCCTGCTCCACAAAGCATCTCTAGAGAGATGACAGAAGAGATTTAGACAAAAAGCAGATGCAAGGACGTTAATTAGGAGTAAGCTGAGCAGATGTAGCTGCACGTTTCCATAGCGTGCTACCCTTACCAGGTCTGACTCCAGAGTGCAAGTGGGAAGAAAGTCCTGTTCACTGTCAAGGAAGATACAGAAGTCAGCCACAATGTTTATGGGGAAAGTTTTTAACTACAGCTTTCCAGCATGATTAGTCATTTAAAAGCTTGTTAGAATGGACTGTTTTCCTATTCTTCAGAAATTTTTTTAATAAAGAGAAAATGGGACACTGAGTAAGGACTTTTAGATATGAGGGGCCATGTAGAAAACCTAAACAGGACTGTAAACAGCTGAGGGAAAGTGGGGGGCATGGGAAGGCGTGAGATTTTTGTTGAGTTTTGGGGGTTCTTTTTGTGAGGCCAGCACTGGACCTTTGTGCAGCCCCAATGCTGTCCCTGGTTGTACATTCTGGCTCCATGAATTTGTGTTCCTTTCTGTACAGTGATCTGGCTTTGACACTAAAATGCCAAATAATAAGGTGACTGTGTTTGCAACCACCACCTCCTCCGGGGGCCAGTTTTTAAAAGAAAGCAGCAATCCTCCTTGCAGTCCTTCAAAGAAAACTTGGTGGTGGAAGAACAGATCCCTGGGATGTTTCCTTCTCAAAATTTTGGTTGTTTTCCCTCTTCCTTCCATGCATCTAATTTTCCAAGCTCTGTATAAAGAACCTAAGTACTTTACTGGATCTATATTTCAAAAAGCATCTAAAAGAAGTAAATCAGTGCTGGCAAACTCATATGTAAAGCATACCTCAGAGAGCAGAGATTAAGAAAGGAATACAATGATCAATGGTGCACTCCAGTTCCATGCAGTCTAAAGGGCACTTTATGCTATCGAGAGTAGCCTCCTAAACAAGTTATGCTGCTTTATAACACCACAATCAGAAACTTAAGTGTCAAGTCTGCAAATCTGGAAGTAGATCTGTGGGTTTCTGTTTCTACAAACACCATTTCCCTGATTTTTTTTTTCTTTCTTTGCCGAGTGATTTGAAAACCGAGCCAGTGTTTTAACACCCGAAGGCCTCAGCTGCTCCATCATCTTGACATAAGTTTATAGTGAGTTTTTTACTTTGTGAATGGGTAGACAAAGAAAGGCAGTGCTAGGTGAGTGCTTCTCAAACTGCCCTGAAAAATCACATTAATTAATGATTAGCAAATCATCAAATAAGAGAGCTACAACAGCAGGCCATGGTCATCAGGAAATTCTAAGAATGATCCATTGAGCTAAACAGCTTGGGTATCGCTGCTGTGTATGGAAGGAAGCAGTAAGTTGCCCAATATGTTCTTTTTACCATTCAGGGTAGAAACTGGGGAAAAAAAAGTCCCTCAGTGTCAGTTATTAGAAACAAGAGCTGTCATAGTTATACTGCAGAAAGATAATGTAAGTTTTGCACCCATTAACACATCTGAAGTTTTGGGGAAGAAAAATTACCAATATGTCATGTTTTACCAAGAATATCTGTATAGAGTATATTAAGGTTTGTGAACGATTAATATATTCTTATGCAGAAATACACAAGTAACATTAAGACCATTTTCTTCCACTTCTTAATATACGTTTGACAGAAGTTTAACAACTAAACCCAGTTTGTACAAAAGTAAGCAGGGACGACTATACTGCTGTTGGAAACATGGGGTCAGAGGATCACTCACAACTGGTTACACTGGGTTTGCAGATGTGTATCAGAGATTTACAAAAGGAGCTCTTGTGCAATGATTTTGCTTCATGCATTTAAGAAATGCACTGGATTATTCTCATGCATGATTTTTCTGGAGATGATAGTAAAATTTTGAAGTTTACCTTCTTGACATGGGAATTTCACTGAAGAAAATTTTATATAAGGCACTACTCAGCCCAATGCTCCTTGTCATTCATCAATTGTATTTTAGACATTTTAGATTGTAAGATACAAGGCAACACTGCCAGTCTGATTTCTCAAAAATCATGACTCAAACACCCAAATATGAGATTAGTTTTGTTTAACACCTGCAGATTTTAATGCATTACAATTCTTTAACTTTGCCTTTTGGCCTCTAATCCTTTTATTTCAGATGCTATCAACTATTAGGTCATGTGACAAAGTACGGGGAAATCCCCTCCACATATAGAAAATACAAACCCAGCAATCAGATCAGACTGTAATCACAGTAGCTGCCAAATATGATGATGAGCAAGTTTAATGCAGCCTGCACAATTTTTGCTCCCTTTCTTAAAAGCTTTTTTTTTTTAAATTCCCCTACCCTCTTTTGTTGATAAATGTTATTTTTAGTATAAATGGTAATTACTAACAGCAAGAATAATTACAAATATCAACTAATTTCTGTGCCAAGTTTGACATCAATACAAGAATAAAACACAGGAAGAGAACAAGCCATGAAGAGATCCTCACTTTCCTCAAAAAGCCAAACAGCCCCCAGAGGTTAAGATTTCCTTTGGAGTCAAAGCCCAGATTTTGTCTTTATATTGACATGAACCTTGCCTTATTGTGAGCTGCTGGCATGGTAGTCAAGTCTTTAAAAGATGTATTAAATAACAAGAATTATGCTAACTTCTTTGGTAATAAATTACAGAAATAATAGTGAGGCAGAGTTCCTCAGCAAAGCGAAAAAGGGCGAAAAAGCATTCACCTGCCTCTAAGACAATGGGGCTTCAAGGTAACAGAAAGCAAAATTCAAATATACATCTAATCCAACATCACAGATTTGGTTTAAAATGGAAGCGTTCATAGTATTTCCTTCATGTTACATGTAATACATGGATCAATTTAAAATGGGTTTTCTTTAGAGCAACACAGCACACAGTAAAGCGCAAACTTTTCCAAGCTACTTGTCCCCCAGGAGCCTCCCTTACCCATGTCCTGTCCAACTGTTCCAGTCATAAGCCAGTTAAACAGGCCAACAATATTTGGGTTTATTTTGTGTCATTAAAGTGGCATGTAAGAAAAAGAAAAGGAGGTGGGGATGGTGACAGGATATAGATCCAAACTTGGAAACTGTGTTCTTGCCAGAGTCACAGACACATAGAACAGACTTGAAGAAACTTGTGGGAATGCAAATTATTCTGTTAATGACTGTGGCATTGTGATTTCATGGAAAAAACAAAAATACTGCCCATCTCTATAATCTTCATTAGAAGCGCGACTTCTGCTACATTTGTTTTCTGCTATTTTTCTGACCTATGGTTTAGTAGTTTCACAGATCTAGCCATATGTACAAAATTACAGGAAAGAGATGCAACTGATTTAGTGCAAGACACTTGAATATTTATCTGGACATAACAAACGGAGGAAGATCAAAGACTCCATACATTTCTCCATAAGGCAGATGGTCGTTTTTTTAAATATAAGATCTTAAATATGCTGTTTATTTCTTAAGAGGTAGAAAATATCAAAATACTAAGAAAAAATTTCTAGCTTAAAACAACCAGTTTGCTTACTTTTTAAAAAGTCTCCCTGTTGCAATTTTTAGGTTAATAAAAACAAATGAGGCTATGGAAGCACAGGATTTCGTGCTCTGTATAGATTTTACTTACTGGAAAAAGAGAGCGCCTGCTTCATCTAGTCAGTGCTCAAGCATTATGTACAAAGGATCTCCTCCTTTTGCCCTGTTGGGGGCTATAAAAATCTGAAGATTCCCAGTGGAAAATTTTGGCGATTCCTGAATTTCTAGCACTACATTTAGCCAGGTACAGTTTATGCATAAGGCAGTAGAACCACTGATGTAAGCTCAGAACTACCTCTTCCATAATGCTAAGAAGAAAGCCAATAGAAACAAAAGCTTATTTAAATCTTCTCTACAGGCAGCAAAGGATCATACTCTGATTCCAGCACCAGCTGATAATTTTAGTAATTTATACCAGCTCAGAGACAGCTGAACTACTCGTTGAACTGTGGAAGCCTACCTACAGTTTGAGTTACTAAGGCTTGCACTGTTTCCTCAGCACAGCTAGGAGATGCTGATGCTACTGTCTCCAACGCAATTCAATAAGGCATAAGTTAACTCAGAACTCACATTATTACACATTGGAAAAGTAGTGTAAAAGCTCCTCTCTCTTTTCCCTCTCGCTGTTAACATTCAGTACTATTTATTAAATATTTTATAAAAAGAAGTTAGGGTATTTATACATTCAAACAATCACTGCAATAGTCAGAGTAAAGAAAACAAATGAATTATCATATTCTATATTAATCACAATTCTGGAGATATGCACACTTACACACATACTCACGCCCCACACATATATTATATGTGTGTGTGTATATATAGATATATATGTGTATATATATAGATATATTTTATATATACTTCTTCTAAATCAGGTCTGAGAATACAGCACAGAGTATCTTCACATGGCTCCTCTTTCACCAGAGGATGGGATTGTCCAGTTTGGAAAAACCAGGTTCTTTTCTGAGGCCCATGTAGGTTCCGTTGCTCACCCAGGAGTCATCGTTGGATTTCCTATCAAAGATTAAACAAATGCCTTAAATGTAAAGCATGTATTTTCCATACATAAGCTATGAGCTGCAATGCAGCCCTATGCACACATACCCAACCCAGCCAACGAACCAGCTGCAGTGCAACTCAGTACAGCCTTCAAACAAAGCCGGATAGCTTGGGGAGTCGAACCGGCACGTCTGCACTGGGCCTTGGAGACGCACCTCAGTAGCCCGGTGTTCAGCTGAGACCAACACTCTTATTTCACTGTCACATGCCAGTGCTCAGCACTTAAAACTACAGTCCAGGTTTATTTCATGGTCTCAAAGGCAGCTTTGAGTGGAAAGCATAAACTTTCCTTTTACCTCTCCAATATGGCTCACCGCAGTTATTGCGGAAAGACAGCCTATAGCTGTGTCAAGAGGCGAGACTCGCTGCACTACGTACCATACCCTGAAGCAATCAGTCTGCTTTTAATCTAATGTACAATGTTTTTTGGTGCAACAGCAAATTATTCTTTTAAGTAAATCAAGGCTTGTGATTTGTTGAAGAGAGAAATCACTACTGAAAAGCCAAATGCATAATTCATATCTACTCTTAACACTAGGTAACACTTTTGCTGTACAGCAATTAATTTTCTTATTCTGTTATTTAAATCTACAGCACAGATCTCAGTTTTCAAATCCTTATTGTGAGGATTCAAATCCTCATCTGCATTCACAGGCCTCACTGTGAATATACAATTATGAAGTATTAGACTTGGTCTCAGTCCTGTCTTTGCTGGAAGCAACATTTACTTCTCCTTGGCAGGTGTGTTGACATGGGATGATTTAGCTCACCAGCTCCTTGGACAAGTAGTGGTCTGAGGCAGTTCCTTTTTGCACCTATTTTAAACATTTCTGTGCTTGTCAGAAGTACAGTATCTATCTATCCAGAAAAAAATTAGGATCCCAGATCTGTTAACTGTGACACATAGGCCCCTACAACATTCACCTTGACTCCAGCTCTTTCATTGCAGGAGAACGGAGAAGCTGGAGGGCAGAAGCCCATGTCCTCACAGCATTCATTTTTGTCTTTTGATGGCTGAAGTCTCCCATTAATTGATTTACAACAGGAAGAAATAAAGTGCCCTCTGAATGATCATTCTCTCCCTATGGGGGAAACATGTTCAAAAATAGCCCTGGAAATGAGAGGCTCCAACTCTGCACACTTCTGCACAAGGCAATCCCACTGAATTCAGCAAAAGTTCAGCTGAGGTAATTAAGTTAAATCCAGCTACTTCACCTCACCTGAAAGGATCAAAGATGCTACATTCACTCGGGCAAATTCAAACAGACTAAATATCAATCACCATCAAGGCAAAAAAATTAGAAATTAAGGGATGCACTAATAAAAAACCAATATATAATCCTGAGTTTTAACTAAGTCTGGAGTATTCTACATTGCCAAAGTACAAAAATCAAGAATATAGAAGAAACCTGTAAAAAACTGGAGCCCGCTCTATGGCAGTTTAGAACCAGAACTATAATAAGAATTTCAATAAATGGTAATTGATAGTATGTGCTAATTATTACATAGTACCTGAAAAATCTAGGCTGATGCTCTAGATTGTTTTCTTCCAGCACCTTCCGTCGTTCTCTCTGTAGCTGCTCAATCCTCTGCTTTTGCATTTCGGCTCCTTCAATATTACCTTCTTCTAGAAACCTGTAGCACCAGTGAAGATAAGATGCAGAACTGGTGCTCCCATCCCCCATCTTTGCCAGGTCCTCTAGAGCTCCATAGTCTAATCTTTCCAGCAGGCAGTCCACAGTGTTTGAAAGGTAAACAGCTACGTCTGCAGACAACTGCACTATCAAAAAGCACTCAAGGAAAAGTAACTCTTGTAACAAGCTCAGTCATCATCATATTATACTCTTTTCCTTGGAAGCTGCAACAGTAGAAATTCCACCACAGAAAGAAATTTGTGTCTCGGTTTTTGGCTATTCAAACACAGTACGCTCAACATCTGGTACCCGAAGCACTGAAGTTTTAACATCTTTGGAAAGGCAGTTATCTAGAAGCATGCAAGAGCCAATTTTAGGAAACACTGGTCCATAATTACTAGACTGTCTCTTGATAAGTGATTAAAATATCTGTTTCAGATGCACATTAATGCAGAAATAGAAACACACTGCACTACACATGAAATAGTCTGAGCTTAGGGTAAAGTGAGCATACAGAAGAGTAACACCTATTTGAGGAAGATACTTAAAACTTCTTACCTTTGGTCCGGCCTAAAACGTGTATCAGTGGATGGGAGTAACGACTTAGTTTGCAGATCCAGTTCATTTAACTCCAGTGCAAACTGAGTAAATCCATACCACTGGTCATAATCTTTAGGCATCGGATCTGCACAAGAAAAAGAGTACATTCAGTATTCCAATTAAATGCTGTTATCTTTAGAAGGAAAATTCCAAGCTCCCCTCCATCATTTGTTCATCTCTGAACCACGGTCTCAATTCTGGGGGAATAAGAAGTTTTTAACAATGTGACAAGAGACAACATCCCCTTTGATAATCGCACTGCCACAAACCAGATTTCTGTTCTCTCAGCTGAATCAGAGCACAACTGTGATGAAGGCCATGCTGTTATCACAGTGCTTTTTCAAACTACAGTAGGCAAAACCCCACAAGTTTGGGAGAAGTTCAGACATGGCTGTCATTACAGAACTGAGTTTTGTGGGCTATCCTCCAACGTTTAATACATGAAATACACCACACTTCTCTACACAAAAAGGGGGGAAGGACAGCTGTTACTTTTTTTTTTACCTTCTTTTTAGAGTTCTCAATACCCACTTCATGTCCAAATATGAAAATGAGGTAGAAAGGAGACAATGCAGGAAGCCATAAAATTAAGTTCTCCATATTATTTAAGTTAAATGATGTATTCTTGTAGTCTAAATTTTAAATGCTTGACAAAAATCTAATATTCCACATAGAAATAACAGGAAGTTGGGGGCTAATAAGGAGATGAAAGCAGTAAGCTTATTCTCAAGCAGATCTTAAGTTCTGTACGTTAGCCATTCTGATCACTAACTTGCTCTCCATACGCAGTTTGGAGATGAAGTTGTCCCACAGTATAAACTTTCATGCCACTTCCCAAACAGTCGATGCACAACTTTCCCAGCTTTATCCATGACACTGCCTTCAATCTCGTGTGCATTTGGATTCCAATACTTCGCCTAGAATTAAAAGAAAGAAGGGGAAAAAAGGTGCATGAGATCAAGTGAGAGTGATTTTGCCATGTCAGTAGCACCACGTTGTAAAGCGGTTTTCTAAAATGAAAACTGTTCATTTAGGCGTGCATTACAATATCATGCAAACAACTGCTGTTAGTACTATTAATCAACTTATTAAAATGCTAAGGTTGAGAATTATATTTACTTTGTTGGCCTTTTTTGGGGGCAGTACTAGGTGAAGCATAGCTGACCTTGAATTTTTCCCAATGACAGGTAACACTGATGCCTGACTTAGTTCTACACCTTCCCCAAATTTGCAGAAGAGGAAGAGAAGGAATTGATACAGTAATTTCCACTTCAGACAATTTACAATATCTAAGGTGTAAGATTTTCAGGCTCTCAATCTTGAAAATTTGAACTCTAAACATCCATTGCAATTCTGCAAATACACTACAGTACTTTCAAATAAGTATTTTAAAAAAAAAAAATCACCCTAATGCTTCTTAGAAAGCACAAAGTATTCAGGAAAACACGTAAGAAAAGGAAACTTTCCTTCTGTTGCTGAGTATGCCGTGCTGCATAGGTATGCTGAAGTACTTAGCTTGTATCTGTATGGTCTGTTTCTATGTAAAGCACAGCCTTTCTCCAGCAATCAGATACAGAAAATGCATGTTAAGGTAAGTATCTTAGCATGCTTTGCAAAACTATTTCGCAGTTTAGAAATTTTGGCATTGTTTTAGGCTTTCATTGATTTTCCTTTACTAGAAAGAAGCCAAAACCTAATTTTAATTTCAGTTATAAAAGCATTTCCTGAGGAAGTCATATCTTGATGCCTTGTACCGAAGAAAAAGCTTTGAGTAACATCACAACCTCTCACTTAAGCTCCTCCAAGTACCTGCAAAGGGCTAGAGAAAAGCATTGAATGAAGCACCCTGCATAAGCACTGGTTCTACAGCTGCTGAATGAATGCGACCACAGCACATGCCAATGCGTTAGCAGGAAGCATGTGGTAAACCACCTTGTGCCTACCTCTCTCATCAAACACAGAGTAGGTTTTTCATCATATTTCTTCCTCTCCTCTCCCCATACTTTTCTGCATCTCAGGTGGAATCACCTGAGAAAGCTGTTGCTTCTCTTTCCTGTCTGGCTTTACCTAGTGAGTGGCAGTTCCTTCAGAGTTAAAGCTTCTCAAAGAATCACACACAATTACAGCAGAACTACAGGAAAATACAGTCTGTAAGCAGTTGTACTGAGCTTCAGCAGAGAGCATCCACCCACTACTGTGTCTGTTAGAAAACACACTGAAACATTGCTGTGGTTACTCCTGTGGTTACCTTTATGAAAGTCAGTTTGCAGTGGCAAGTGTCATCGTTAAGGTTTTTGATAATGATCTCTCCATAGTGTTCAATCCATCTTTGCCCACTTAAGATGTTATGGATGCAAGATGTCACCTTGTTCCATGCAAAATGGTCTTTAAAACTGCAAGAAAAATACACACAAGAAAAATCTCATGCTATGTTCAAATAAGCTTTTAAACTTGTGGAGAAAAATTGCAGAGAACTTGCATTAGAAAAAAAACACAATTTCTTTTCTGGAATGCCTCATCTTCTCGTCACACACCTTCTCAAAAACAAAACCTATGACAACAGTCCTGTCTCCCAGAAAACCCTTTTCACTTCTGCTATAAACTTAGGTCTGGAACTCAGTTTTCTCTCAATTTATTTGCCCCTCTTTACCAGTTTTAAGTTTCCAAAAGTAGTAATTCTAATGTCTTCTACTGGCTGAAATGCCCATTTCACAGCTTATAATACAGTGACAACTGAAAACACAGGGACATAGGCCACCAGAGTCATCAGAAGACTTCTTGAGTGAACTGAGCTTGGCTGAAGCTCTCAAGGGTGAGCTTCTGTGTGTGCTTGAGGCAAGAGCAAAAGTTCTCACCAGGTAGTTCAAGATGCAGTTGCACACTGGAAGACAGCAGACGGGGAGAGATGAAAAATACCAATAGGTAATAGAACATTTTACCTTTTATTAAATAAGTATATGTTCTTATAAAACTTCAAGAACACCAAGGTCTCATGTAGACATATATTTTACAACTTGTTCTGGGTATTGATAGCTAAGTTGCTACTGGAAAGGTAAAGGGTAAACTTACAAAGCACCAGTTTCCCCACAGCATCTGCCTCGCACACGTCCCATGAAGATATTAGAATCTTTCCTTACCTCGCCTTAATCACTTGCTTTCACTTGCTGCTTTGTAAGAGCATGCACAAGGACAGTTTTTACAGACTAGCAGATATGCAGCCAATTTACCCTATAGTAACTTGTTTTCTTGCCCCTAACTGCAGGTCACATGCCGTGTTACACATGCTAAAAATACTGTATTTACTCAAAAAATAACCTTAATACTAATGCTTTATTTTTCCTGAGCCTCAGTACCCTTTTTGTACCCAGTTCTGTATCACATACAGAGGGATAGAAACCAGCACCTGGAGCCCACACATGAATCAGATTATTTTCCAGTTCATCAGCCCACCATGGGCCTTAATCCATTAGTTACCTTCCCTCTGAACCCTCACTCACATCCTAAAGACCTTTCACTCCACAGCTTAGGCTACCCACTATGAACACAACATGTTTATACATTACCTTTTGGATACTATCTTATTATATTGCAATTTTACCCACTTAAAAGAAAAAGGCATGCTTAGCTGGATAAGTGCTAGGTTCTTGGGTTTTTCTTTTTTCAGATGGCAGAATAATTAATTTTGTAGACTCTCTTTAGAAAACAGATTTAATTAGAACACAACTCAACCTTTAGACCTCTGGTTCTGCAAACACGATGGATATAGGCCAAATTTTAAAGGATTTTAATTGTTGATCTATAATGGGCAATCTGACAAGCCAGGATAGGAACACTGCAGATTTTTATAAAAAAAACATAAAAATTAAACTATACTCAACTACAGTGGCTGCTTGCTTCCTTGGACAATAAACACCAGATATACAACTGGTTTCTATTTATCACAATAATTATTTATGCAGTGATGATAGTGATCAGCCTCACCTACAGACCAGGACTCCATGGTGTTAGGGTCCGTACAAATGTAAGCACAAAAGACAGCAACACCACCACCACAGTCTCCCCCAAAACCATATTCAAGCAAAAGAATTCATAGCTTCCTCTACCATGCAGTTTTTCCCTGTGAGTTTAAAATGCATGAAGCCTGAAATTCAACTGAAGTATGAAAATACCAACTTTGCTTTTTTCAAGATACGCAGGTTGATCTTTTCTATTTAATCTTTTGGTTTTTATAATCCTTGGAAGAGTTAGCGCTTCTGTTACATAATTCTGGGTTTGGGTTGGTTTTTTCTCTGTCTTCTTAAACTAAATCATAATCACCAATTCTTCCAAAGGTTTAATTACGGCATAGCACAGCTTGTTCTCATCTGGGTAAGCGTGGCTCCAGTGTGTGCAAGCATGTCTGTGCCTCTGTGTGAACAGCGACGCATGACTGCAGAACTTACGCTGGAAGAGTTACATGTGTTGTACCAACTGGAACGATTTCCATGGACTTTCCCCAGAATTTGTTTTTCCATCTCACATCTGAAACAGGAAGAGGAAAAAAAAAGACAGGTTTAATCATAAGCATGGGTGAATCATTCTACTTCTGGATTCTACTTCATTTTCAAGAAATGCAAAATAACAAAGTGCAACATAATAAAAGTGTTCAAAGAATGCTGTGGACCTTTGAACATGGTTTGGGGTTTTTTTCATTATATTATCAGTTATTTAAGTAGCAAAGTAACAGAGGTTTAAAAGTCTTCCCAAAAACTTTTTCAAAAGAGAGAAATTTGAATAAGCTACAGACTGCATATTCAATTGCTAGTGAATGAACGCAGACATTTCCAAAAACAAAAGCGGAATTTCAAATGTGAAAATATAGCAACTAAGAACATCCAGAGTCAAGAAACAAAATAATGTTTCAAAGGGCACAAAAATGCAAAGGGATTTAGTCCAGCTTCCTCTGTAAGCTTAACTGTCCTTATGAAATCTTGTCTGAATCACAGAAGGATGTGTCCAAGTCTCATATCATTTCTCCAAAAAAAGATGAGAAATCTCAATGCAAGTTTAGCCAAATTTATTGAGCAAAAACACCTGGAAGAGAAAGAAACATGGACAGAGAAGAACAGCAGAAGGGCTACAGAGTTAAATTAGGCTAGATAATCAGGCAGTAACTTGCGTAGTAACTTCAGAGCTCAGGGGAATAGTATCCTTGCTGTATTAGACACTAGGAACTCCATTCCCTGCCCAGTCGGAAAAAGAGGGAAGAATATCACCTCTAGTCTCAAAAAGATGCTAGTACTAACACAAGGAAAACCAAAACGCTGTTTCCTGTGCAGTTGTGGGGGGAAGCTGTTATGCTGGCTGTGAGATAGATGCTCAAACCGTAGTTAGATGACGACATATCTCCTGAGTATATATGTTCAAGTGATAGGACTGAGCCACACCAAGCCACCCACCACTGCAAAGGCTGGAATGGGACATGGGGCAGAATTCCTCATAAAAAAAAGTAACCCTTTTCTTATTGCTTGAGAAAAGGACCTTTTTTTTTTTTTTTTTTTGTTTTTTTTAATTTTGAAGTTTGATGCTGGGCCAGCATCATTAGTGACAGCAATTTTGTTGTGATTCCTATACCACATAAAGAGGTCCAAAACTGCCTTGACTATGATGGTGTTGAGCCGACTTCTGCACTAGCTTTCTCTCTTCTGCAGTGGGATGGAAGAGAAAGGGCAAAGACACAGCCTGCTGAGTTTAATAGTTAAAATGTGTTATCAGAGTGCGTTAAGTTCTATGTTCTCATAAATGGCACAGCTGTCCCACAGAGATCAGTACATCCGAAACATCTTGGAAACCAGTGTGTAACTTGATCATGCAAAAGTTTTAGGACAACAAAGAAAAGCCAAGTGTTATTTCAAAGCTATGCTCAGACTAATTCAGGCACAGATGCTGTGATAGCTGGAACTTTCTATTCTGCATTTCCATTGTTCACGTGTCCACACTCCTTTGCAAAAGCAGTCAGCTTCATAAGTCAAGGAAAATGATTTCCAAAATGACTGTCCCTGTCAGAACCCAGTCTTCCGGCTCACTAATGATGTGATGATCAAGAGATTTCTTGATGTTGAAACAGATGAACTAAGGTCAGTGTCTGGTGGGATGACAGCACTACTCTGCCAACGTTGCTGAGGACTGTCTCCTTTTTGGCTGAGGAGATAATATGGCAAGTGAGAAGATCTTTGCACACAGAAAGAACTTACCTCGTTGACAAGCCACATTTATGATTAACTTGATGTTAATGTTTCCACATAAGTTAGTATAGCCCCATAACAAGAGACCACAGCATTTACAAACTGCCTTTACATTGGAAAAAAATAATTGTCTAGATCTCCAATGAGCTCAGCTAGCCACGTTTCAAAACAAAACCAAACTACAAAACACTGCAAGTACCCCCGACTGAGTCTCCTGTACTCATCAAGACCAAATCTCAGACTCTTTCTCATCAATCAGATTCTCATCTCTCACGTTTACAGAAGAGCTTTGTTCTCTAAATGCAAGTGTTAAAACAATTGAGTGATAACCATTGTCAAGATCTGTTAAAAAAAATCAGTCTCATCAGTTTTTATGAAGACAGGCTGCTACCTAGTCTTATTTACACAGTATTCAGTTATTGAATAAATTTTTGGTCATCTCTGCTTTTTTGCTAAGAACAAAAGGATTCTTGTCCCTGTATCTGTTTACAAAGCAAAGAACTGTATTGAATAATGAAACTCAGACTAATGACAGAGTTCCATTTTCTGTTCAGTATGGGTCCATCCGTAATAACTATAATCAAGTCAGCAGAGTCAATCATAACAGAATTAAAGGTTATAATATGGCTACATTGTGAATTGACAAATCTCTGGGTGAAGGTTTTTAACTGAGTTAAAAGGCACAGTTATGTTCTGTGTACACTCCAAAAATATCTAACCACACAGGTACTGTGACGAGCTGACAACCTCGCCAGCATTACACAGCAAACAAAGCTCCAAAACAGTTTTTTTAAAACACAATGTTAGTAGTCAAATAGCACAAATCTTATGTACTGTAATAAAGCCAGCAGAGAAAGACACGGTAAATCTATTTATCCTTGCTGTTATGCTCATTTTTGGCAATTTTTTTCAGAACAGGTTTACGAGATCTGCCAAGGCTCAGGATTTAACTGGTAGTTTTTCCTGCTGTTTTCTACTTTGTTTTATAGCTTGAGGTACAACTCTTCTTTACTAAAGAACCTCCCCAAAACAAACCTGATTTTAAAGAAATGCAGATACTTGTACATGAAAAGAATAATCAATTAATTTTTTGTTAAAAAAAACTTGAATATTTTTATAATGGCAGAACATCCAAGTAATAAGCATGCAAGTAAGTATAGGCTAGCATTTCTTAAAACCACTCTAATACAATTTAAGCAGGGAATTTCACCTTTTCCCAGTTTCTGGATACTTCATGTTAGACATACAATGAAAATATTATGAACACTGTAAATGATAGACTGAAGAGTTACCTTGCCAAAAAGCAAAATTCACAGATTCAGCATGGCATGCAGAAATAGGTGGATGGTGACTGACCTAATAGCAAGACATGAAAGGGGAAAAAAAAGATGGACATATTAACACTTGAACAGTCATTTTGGTTTGGGGTATTTTTTTTTTTTTTTTTCCCCTTCATTTTTTCCTTTATATATGGCATTTACAATTTGAGCATTTACTTGCCTTGTACAGTTGTGTCCTGAAGGGGGAGTTAGTGAGATTAATAAAGTACTGAGACTTAAGAAGCCTTGCAAGAAATGGAAAGCACTTATTTTAAAAGGCCTGTGAATTTTGTTCATTGAGTGAAAATCTAGCTATGTATTTTGTACATTTTCTCTAAGGTAATAACTGCATTTACCCTTACAACCTCTTCATATGTTAACAGATGCCGCACTTTGAGCACACAGACAAAAATAAAAAACCCAAAAGGCCAAATTCTCCTGTACAGTAAATACCCACAAATGCTTGACTATGAGGGAGGAGACAGCGATCAGCATCTCTGAGGGAGCCACCAGTGGAGAAATCGAGCCATGAAATTCCATCTAGCAACCTCTACTGCTGCAGTAGTGGCACCCCAGGTGTTTCTAGTGCAAAACTCCTAACCGCACACACTGCATTTTATCAGCTTTGGGTAATAGCACATACGTGAAATTAGGGCAACCACCAAAATAGGAAAGCAAGGACTGCGAGTAAATAAATAAATACACAATTCAGACTATTGAAAGGAAATAGTAAAGTAACTGCACAAAGTGAAAGCAGCCACTCCTCCTCGGCTGTAAATTCTCCCTTCTGGATGAACTCAACTAAACTGACCAGAATCAACACCTTGATGTGTAATGCCTACAGTTCTTTTGACAAAGACAATTTTATTTTTGAGTCAAATTCCTATTTCCCACTATGAATTTAATTCCTTAACCACCTACTACATGGCTCAAATGCAGTTTTACTTTCTTCTTTGTTACTCATTTTGCAAATCTGTTATCAAGCATTTTTTTCCACAGGCATCCAGTTATTTACTGAACATCCTCTACTTGTTTAAAAAAAAAACCATAAAAAGGTATTAATTACTCTCAGCTATGCCCTAATCCACCAAGAGCAGCACTCTCTCACATACTGCACCCAGATTAACCCCAGATGTCACTATAATTCATAGGTTAAACTTAGCTCTCACTTAAACTGTTATAATTCCAGAGTAAGGTCATGGTGCTAAGTGGAGTTATCCTAAACTCTCTCTAGTAATAGAACAGGATCTCTGTTATTTTATAATTTTGCCTATCTATTCCATGGATTACATACTATCTGCAAGAACAAGTTATCCAGAGTAAGCTTCAAAATGCTTGCACAAACAAGCAATAAGCAACAGCTCCGGATGCAAAGAGAAATATTTAATGCTTGCATGCTACATGAAATTTCTTTCCTCCTATACTGCCCTCCCTTCCTAATATTCCTCCACCATGCTACTACAGTAACTTTAGCACTCTATAAACTCACGTCTCTTATTGCACGTATTAGAAAAATAGTTGTTAACAGCCCAAGCCCCCTCATGTATTAAAATTCCTCTTTAGAAAAAGTAGTCTTTGTACCGAGTTATCCAATATTCAGGGGAGAATCTCTTCCTTTAATTCAATCTAACATTAAGCTCAGTACCAACCTTTATTCACCACTTTGTTACTCCAATTTGATGTTACACTGGTAACTGCAGTGCTCTATACACATCATCTTAGAACTGAAGTACCACAACAAAGAACTAGATACATTACTTGAACTTTAAATTCAAGTAATTCAAAGTCCCCTTTGCTTAGGGACATGGTTTAGTGGTGGGATGGCAGTGCTAGGTTAACGGTTGGACTTGATGATCTTAAAGGACTTTTCTAACCTAAACGATTCTATGAAATTTGATTATTGCTTTGACAGTTTTGCTTTTTTTGTCCCCCCCCTCCTTATTTTTACTCTTGCCTGTGACACTTCCCCAAGACTTCGGAAAGATCACATGGCACTCCTTTTTCTCAGTTCTAAAACATAATGTATAAAATGATGCATCTTCAGAGACAATCAAAACCACTTCTTGTTTCCTAAAGGAAGCCTCTTAGAAGGCTTTCTCTGACTGAATTTCTGGGTTGTATAGCCTTTGCCACTGCACTTCTGTTACGTCTAGTCAGAATGAGACAGCTTTCAATCGTTCTTATTCTGCTAGGCACCAGATTATTTAAGTTTTATCTCTTTTTAACATATGTCTCAAGCTTAGCAATTTTGGTAACTTGGCTGGTTTAAATTTAGTATTTTTCACCCATACTTAATAATTATTCTCTTATCGGGGAATTATTTTCATAAACACTCAAACCTTGATGTGTTGTATACAACCTTCACCTACTAAGCTGTGGTACCACATTTGAAAATCTTAGCCCACAAAGTATTTGGACAGGAAGCAGAAATACTCATCGTGCCATAGAAAAAATACTAGTGGTTGACTGACTCACACAAGGGATATATTTGTTATAAAAGAAGACATTAAACAGCTGAAGATACATTATTTTTAATGATCACACACAAAAGAAAACGACAGGAATATGAACGCTTGTTGCAGTCGTGATCAGATTTCAGCATGGGGAATTGCACTCTACTTAACCAAGTTATCTAGTTACTGGAGTAGGCACCCTGCCAGCCTTTGCTTCTCGAGCATCAGCTGTTGGTTGTCATGATCCATGCCAGCGTTAGCAGACTTTCCTCAAAAAACAATTTCTTTCATTTATAATTCTGCAACGTCCCTTGAGTTTTGCTGGGCTCAGGTTATGTATTTTGTATTTTGCTATTAATTCCAGAGGATTCAAGACACGCATTTAGAATTAAGCAGTGTATCAAGTAGCAAATCTAAGGGTTGCAGCATACAATACCTGTTCTGCAAAGAACTGGAAACCCTTATCTTCACGAATACATTCATAGGTTTCTCCAAGCACAGGATTAAATGGCTTACTGCCAGCTCGGTAGTAACTGGATGCATACGCAGAGACTGCAAATGCAGCTATATACACCTGGGAATAACATATGTGGAATTTTGATTAATTAATTTACCACAGCCATGCACAATTTTTGCTATACTCATTTAACAGAAGGAAAAAAAAATAAGGTCTTATCCTGATACCAGAGTCTGTATTTTTCCCATAATTTTCAGACTACGAACATGCATGCCTCCTGCAAATTAAGCACTAGCTCACACATTAGAGAATTATTCAGTTTTCAGAGAGTCATTCAATGGTGCAGAGATGGAATCATTAGGGTCAAACACTGTAAATTTTATCAACTGAAAACAGCATTTCTGAAAACTGTTTGAAACAGCTTAGCATTCCACAACACAGTTCAAAGCAGTAACCTTAAAAATCACTGTTAGATTTTGTATTATAATTGGTTTTTATAGTTATGGTCTGTGATTCTGTGGAGCCACCAACTATTCTTTTCCTAAACATGGCACAGGAAGTATCAGAAGAGATTAGAATCAGATGCTATTTCTAACGCAGTCTGAACTGCCTTTTAGCTGCTGTTTGCTATTACCTAACCATGAAACTGTTCTTGATTATGACTGAGACATAGGTAACCCTTTCAAATTTTTGCAGTCAACTCAAGCATAATTCCTCCTAAACATGAGGAATTAGAATTTGGGGGTGTTCAATTCAGGTCTCTTTTGTACCATTTTTCTCCCTTTTCATTCCCTTTTTCTCATCTTGTGAAAGTGTAGATGGCCTCCTTCCACAGTTTCAGAAACTGAATCCACTTCAGAATGGCTCCTTTATGAACCATTGGAATTACTATGCAACAGCTAGCATTAATTTTGCCTCGGGAATTTCTCAAAGGCAAAAAAAATACTCCATTCCGAGGTAAACTCCAGATCCTTGGGTGTGGGAAAAAGGGAGAAGTTCCCATATGAACAACTACTGCTCATTTCCTTTTAACATATGTTCTCAAGACAACAAAGAAAGGTAGGCACTGAAAACCCCAGTTAATAGCCATACCCTCTGTCCTGAGAGCAGACACCAAATTGTAACCAGTAACTGTAAACTTTTCAAACAGTATTCATAACACAACTATTTATATTCATTAAGAACCACATTTTAAGATAAGATATCTTGAGTTGAAAAGGCTTCATTCACTTAAAGGGACAATCTATAGCTTCCATTTAAGAGAATTTAGAGAGCTCTTAATCCTTTATTTAAGAGCTTACATATTAAGCAGCTCTTGTGCACCTGGAAGAAGAACAACTGAAATGCGTTTTTCTCTTGTTTGTTTGCCAAACACTGAATTCGGGGTTCTGCACTGGCAGACGATGACACCATTATTGTACCCAAAATACATTCATATTGCCTGTTTTTGAGATCCCAAACATTCTAGATCAACCCCACAAACTTCACAAAACCAGTTAATAAAAAAATGGAGCTCATTTAGTTAACATAAAGATACCACAGTAGTGTAGGGCTGAAGATGCATCCTCCTCTATGCACAAATGTGTTAACAGATTAGACACACTGAAAAAAAGATATATTGTAGCTTTCATACTCAAGAGGGAAGTGTATTGGCTCAGCCCACCCTCCCTTTTTGCTGTAAATTTTTAATCTTACAGAGTAAGAGCTGCAAAAAAGAACTAAACTACTTCTTTGTTTAACCTTGCAGGACAGCAAGACACTTGAGGAAAGAGACTTCCTGACAAAGCAACAGAAATTATGCAGAAGAGACAAAAATAGTGGGTATGTAAGTATGTACAGACACAGGTTTGGGAAGTCTCAACCCCACAAACTTCACAAAACCAGTTAATAAAAAAATGGAGCTCATTTAGTTAACATAAAGATACCACAGTAGTGTAGGGCTGAAGATGCATCCTCCTCTATGCACAAATGTGTTAACAGATTAGACACACTGAAAAAAAGATATATTGTAGCTTTCATACTCAAGAGGGAAGTGTATTGGCTCAGCCCACCCTCCCTTTTTGCTGTAAATTTTTAATCTTACAGAGTAAGAGCTGCAAAAAAGAACTAAACTACTTCTTTGTTTAACCTTGCAGGACAGCAAGACACTTGAGGAAAGAGACTTCCTGACAAAGCAACAGAAATTATGCAGAAGAGACAAAAATAGTGGGTATGTAAGTATGTACAGACACAGGTTTGGGAAGTCTGCCAAAAAAAAAAAAAAGAGACCAAACCAGCTTCATTTCTTTGGCAGACTGTTTTTATCTTCACTCTATTCTAATTCCATTGAATGTTACTAAGTATTTCGAATAACATATTTACCATCCGTTCAAATGGGTTAGGCGTATGTGCTGCTTTATCTAGTAGCTCACTGTACTCCAACTCCTCACAGAGACGCTGAAGGGTGTTAAGTGGCTCATTTAATTCAACAGGCATGGCCACTTTAGACAGATCCTTTCCTATGTTATTTCTCAGGATATTCCATAGGCTGATGTTACTTGTATTAGGACATGGAGCTGGTAAACATGTTCTCCGTTTAGAATTGCATCCAATTCCACTTTCAGAAATACAGTCTGGAAAGGAAGGAAGTGGCAGAACAAGTCAATTCACTGTCTACTTAGTTTCATCCCCTTTGCAAACATACATTAAAATGCGACCACCCTTTTTCTGTCAAAACTTCCTTCTTACCCTCACAATTCATTCAAGTATTTCACTTGTGGTTTGAAGATAGCCTGTTACAGAAGTGATAAAACTAAGAACAAGATTTTAATTTCTGTATGTTAACTGAGGTAAATGGCAGGTACAAAAGATGCATAAAAAGTGATCTTCCTTCCCCTTAGAGGCTGTAAGAAAGGCTCAGGCTTTCCACTGAATTTGAAAGAGTAAATATTATAACTATTTTATTTGTAACAGAGATGGATTCCTATCTGTTTAAGGGACATAAAACCTCCCTCCTTGACAGAGCTTCAATTAAGCTGACACTTCTCAGAAGGCAAGGCGTAACTTACAGATCCAAGCACAGTAACAACTCCTACCTATCTTTTCCTAATTTCTTGAACACTCCTACCAGGGAAATTCACTACAGCACAGACTTACATGAAGAGTCTTTTACAGTGCTCACCACAGTGTTCAGCATTTAAAAAATTTTAGTGATGTTAGCTTTTAGATACGCCCATACATTGGTGGAGAAATGGCCTGCTTTAAAGGTGGAAAAGGCGAGGCAACTGTGGAGCTATGGGTTTGCTGAAGATGAAAAAAAAACAAGACTCATGTCAAAAGCCCTTGACATGAATATCTGAGGTCTGTGTTGCTATGTCAAAGCAATCGGAACAGGATAAATAGTTCTAAGTATGCCATAAAATGATTTGTGGCAGGATCAAAATAGAGCTACAAGCTTCTGCAACAGGCACTAGTCTGAAGTGGTTTAGCTGTACATCAATTTCATGTCCAAGAGGAATATGGTTGCCACTAGAAGAACATATTTTATCTTTACATGTCCTTAGAAGTACCTATGAAGCTGCTGCCCTAGAATCAGTTACCATTGGGAGACATTTAGGTATATCCCCAGTTTGTCAGCCCCTGTCCTCTATCTGGCTTTCCTCACACAGATTTGTCTTGGAGGAATTAAAACAGCACTGGGCAGCACATCTTTCCTGTGCTACACATGCCCAAAGAATCACTGCCCTTAAATGCACTATTTCAACCAGTATTTCCTCTGCTGGTCCACTGACATAAGCATGATATCAGCAGTACTTCCAAGGATGACAAAGCACAGATAACCACACAGGCTAACTTCTCCATCACTGACGTGTATGCTAGCCCATGCCTCAGATGGAGGTTTTCAAGTGTAATCAGCAGCCTCAAAGTTTTGAGGAAGAAGTTTCCATCTTTCCTGCCACTTACAAACTAGAAGTCCTAGCATCTCATATGACCAAGTTACCGTAACAAGGATGGGTGAATTATTTGCAGTCTACTGCCTATCTATTTATTTTTGCATAAAAATGGCATGGGCACTATGAACCAAAAAATCTACCTGAAACAATTATACTGTTAAGAGTTAAAAGGTTGGTTCCTATACTTCCCTCTTGGAAGAATTTATTTAATGTCAGAAGAAGCCAAAAAGAAGGATGTTCCCTTAGACACCTCAGGAATGAGGGGATATCTGAAGACAAAGGAGGTAAATGCTAAAAATTTATACTTGCTTAAAAAAGCTCTCTGCAATGGGATTTGGCTATGTCCTTTGACAGCTTCTGATTAAAAGCAGAATAATAATTGACTGAACTATATATTCTGGACCAGCCCATTAATTGGGGTAAACTGGTGACAAAACAGAATAGAGAAACAACTAAGATATTTAGATACCAAATTTTCTATATAGTGAAGTCTGCCCACCCCCCATGAAAAGAAAAGCCCACACAGTTCTGGCCTGCAAAAGCTGTGACAAATGGCCAGCAACAATACTGAAGGAGATTAAGACATCTGACCTCCAGCTAGACTCAATGACTTTTAAGGCCAGACTGGACCACTATCATCACCTAGTCTGACCTTCTACATTACAGTGGCCAGAGGCTTTTATCATAATCCCAGAATTTATGGATCAGCTAAAGCCCTGTAGGAAAAAGACATCCCGTTTACTGTTAATGGGAGTGGCAGGCTGCCCAAAGCACAGAAAGAGCAGGTACCAAAAGCATGTGGAGGTGCTGCTAATATGGAAAAGCTTCAGTGATAGCCTTTGTTACAAGAAGATGAAATAGCCACACTAGTACAGTTTTCTAAGGTCCAGATCATGAGATAAATCAAACTGTATTCTTTCTTTAAAAAAAAAAGAAATCTCCTTTTTCAAACAGTTACAGAATACAATAGATCTTCAGGCACATCAAACTGCCCAAGTTCACAAGGATCTACTGGTCCTTGGAGATGATCAGGAAACAGCTGCTAGTAAGAAACCACTGTTCAGCATTTTTGAAGAAAAAAATATATTGATAGAGTGGGAAGAACACTGTGGTTAACTGAAAGGAGCTGAAGGCACAAAGCCAATTATTTATGACCAATTCTTCTCCCTCTTTTTTTTTTGATTCTGTCTCTAATTAGCAAGACAGTTAAATAAGCATATGTACTAACAAGACTATCATGATTAAAACATGCAAAAAAGAAATCCTTATGGTCATAAACCAGGCCTGCCAGTGTGCAATTATTCTCATGTTCCTTTAAACACTGACTTCTGCTAAAAACAACAGAACTCTGAATGCGGTTGTTAAATTGCATGACTGAAAAAAACAGTGACAAGAAGAAAATTACTTTTTGAAAAACGGAAAGCAGCTAAGCCCTGCTACTTCAAAAAATCCTATGGCTGTGAAAGGAACTGAAAAGTAATGGGAGCTGCACCAAAGAAGCCAAGAAAATAGGTGTTTCTTTGCTGATACAGAATGACCATCTTGCTTAATCAACGGTTAATCAGATTAGCCAGAATGTGCTGTTCAAAGCCAATCTGAGGCTGTAAGAGAAAAAAACCACAGGCTGTTTACATCTCAAAACCTGTAATATCAAATTATTTCTAGTAAGAGATGAAAAAAAATATCCCAAACAAAAAGAAACAAAGACAATTCTCAAAATGGTATCATAAAACACTGAACTTACCTAAAGTTTGTCTTTCATTCTCTATGTCATTGCTTAGGTTATCTTCTGAGACATTATCACTGATATCACTTACATACGAGTCATCATCTGATACCTGAGTGTGGGGTGGGGAAATAAGCAAGATACATCACTCATTAAAATAACCCCATATTCACATGAAAATTGTTACTTTCTGCTGCAATTACTGTTTTAATAGATTTGAACTGTTTAAGCCGTGTTTCAATATTACAGGAAAGTACTAAGAAGTCCCAAGACACAGTTGAATTAGGGAGAGATCACCATCATTGAAAATTCAATTATTCTTTTAGTGGAAACATGCTTCATCTTCTTGGCCCCACAGCTTAGAAGGCTTTCCTCATATCAAAAGCCAAGGTTTTTATGGAGTCTGAGAGAGGTGACAAAATGAGCTAATTAAGTTTCAATATGCATGACATTAGCCCCAAGGGTACCCTACAGGTACCACAAGGTCAGGTATGTATATGTATTTCTATGATACAATTTCTTAAGCACCTGTACAATGGCTCAAGGCAGACAGTACAATAGATGCAGTATCTGCATACTAGCTACCTCACTGCCATTTGCCTCAATGTGCATGTAAGACTCCTCCATAATAATTGTTACATTTTACTGTGAAGAGACAATGACAGCAAATAAATATACGCAGCATATTAATTTCTAAATGTTTTGAAAATTTTCATTTTCTGGCAGTCATCTGATGTGCAGTTAGCACTCAGAAAGACTGCATGTGAAACAGCACATAAGAAACTACATCAGAATGATGTCAATCTTAATGCTCAGACCTCATTTTCTGAAGAGCTAGCAGACAGCAGGACTTCCTGTGCATCAAAAAATTCTGTGAGAGAGTCAGCTACAGACAGTCTGCTTTCATTGGAGACCTGGTGAACCAGACCTCTGCTTTCTTCTCTTGAATTTTCCTGTTTAAAAGAAATAAGAAGTTTTGAGAAAAGTACCGCAAATAGCATTCATGCATGCAATTCCACAGTCACATAACTTAGAGGGCTGTGAAACACTGGGAGAAGATTACACATGCTCCTCTCAAGTTTAGTGAAAGGTAGCATGTGTTTCAAAGAGGGATGTAAAACCAAAGTAAAACAGACCAAAGAGAAGAAGAAAAAAAAGAAGGAAAAAAAAAGCAATGCATATTCAGTAAATCAGTTATGGTGCTGCATGTATTTCCACCTCCCTCCCCCCCCCAAAAAAAGTAAAAAAGCTTTGATATTTGAGTGAATTATCCAGATATACACAAGTGTATCATCAAAAAGCCCTCAGAAGAACAAAAGAACAAAAATCTCTTTCTATTACATCCTAGATTCACATCCCCTTCTGATCTTAGCAAATGAATTAGTCTTTTCCTCCCAAGCCTTGCTTAATGCAAAGCCTGTGGTGCAGTGGCATACAAAATTCAAGGGGGCAAAGCTGCTTTCTATATATTAGCAATGCTTTCCTAACTCTCTTTCTTCACTAGATCAGTTTCTATGCCATGCTTTGGAAAGCTTTCCTTCATATCCACACCTGAGATAGCTCCGTGTTAACCAAAACCAACATGTAAGTGACATTGCTTTTGCTACTGCAGGCGTGTTTGACTGCCATGGAGATCTCAGCAACTCCTCCCGTGGAAGCTCTACAGATCATTGGCATAAGCAGAGTTCCAAAAGGTGGCCTAGCAAAGATGGGGCAACCAATGAGACTTGGTTTATTTTCTAGATGCCGTAAAAAAGTTGGAGAACATTGCGCACTATTGTCTTCCCTGATAACTCCACCAATGCTAAGAAAAAGGGCTAGCTGGCCCAAAGGAGCGAGTGTATCAGCTGCTCTTGAGCTTTTCTGCATGAGATCCTTTACTAACTTGTAACCACGACTGCCCTATTATAATTTTGCAGGAATTGTAGTGTTTTACTTTCACAGCAACATCATGAACAATCTGACAAGCCTATAATCAAACTGACAAATCTTCTTTCAGAGCTTTTCTGCTGGCAGATTTTGCTATAGTATGGAATGTTATTCAGTTCGTGCTGATAATGGTGACATGGTAAAAAACCAAACTGTTATCACACAGACGACTCTTAAAAAAAAAAAAAAAAAACCAAAAAAAAACAAAAAACAAAAAACCCAACCAAACTTCTGATACAGCAGCAAGAAAAGAGGAAACCTCAACACTGTCTCTTCCGTGGGAAAGCAGTTACAAGTTAAAAAAAAAAAAAAAAAAAAATCTTACACATGTGAGCATTGCTACTGGGAATGTTTCCAATACTATTTTGAAACTGAGAAGGAAAGTGAGCAGGAAAGGCTCACAAAAGAACAGCAGGTTTTTATATCTATCATATGAGAGTTTCAGTTTGTCTTCTTTCATGTTCCCACTCTGACATGATAAACTACACCATAAACTACTCAACAGACAAACTAAATTTTTACCTTACGCAAAGGCTTGAGATACCAGTTTATACTGCTTCAGTTTTCACAGGTCTAGCGTAGCACCTGATGTATCATTTAGAGCCAAGTGTTGTGCAGTGGCCCTGTCTTCCTCACAGCAGCCCTACTGTATCATAGTGCTCAGACAAATCTGAAGTGAAACTTCTCTACTGTAAGTGATTTCATCCTTAAGTTCCATCCCAAACCATGGCAGATGGAATTTGTGAATGAAACCTCTTAAGGACCTTTAGAAAGCTATTTTTGTTGTGTGTGTGTATATATAGTGCATAGAACAAGTTTCAGAAATAATCCATTGTCATTGCAAGGACTGCCACTAAGTAAGAAAATAAAGAACTCCTGAAATTAAAAACCCAATGCATTAATGCTTGTCTGGATAGCAGTTAAAGTGCCGTTCAAATTCTCATGGGATTAAAAGCAAAAGGCATTAGAATGATCAACTACCTTAAAGAAAAACAAAACAAAACAAAACAAAACAGAACCAAAACACAGCTCTACTAAAACTGAACTAAACCAGAAGTGGACAGAATAACTAAACTGTCTTTAAAAATAAAAGGAAATAATAAGTTATATAAAACCCCCAGCATTATATGCACTCAAGTCCTAATGAAAGATTTATACTACAGGCAGAGCAGAAGTTTCTGCATGAGTTAACATTTAGGCAAATCCATCAGAAATAACACAGGTCTTGCTTCCCTCACTAGCACCGTTAACACCTAGATCCTATGACCTATAAATACACCATATGCACATGCATTCTGCAGCAAGCCAAAAAACTGTCTGAACATCAGTACGTCTCAAACTGGCTAACTGGATATGTAGAAGACTCTCTGGCTTGACATAAAGAAAACTAAATGGCTGAAAGGGCTCTTGTATGCCTCATTTCTTTGATCCTTTCATGGAAATGTCTGATAGTTGTTTTAAACCTTACATGAGCCACACTGGTAGCCAGCATTCTGGCCTAACAATATTGAGACATGAGGGTAACAAGGTGGCAGTTCTGCTCATGCTGAATGGGAAGTGGGGAGGAGGCGAGGCAGAACACCAGGAACCAGTAGCAAAAAGCAATGGAAGTGTGCCCAGGAAAACTGCTCACAAGTCTTTGAAATCAAATATCACTCAAGGCATCATCAGAAAAGACTCATAACCATGAAAGCGGACTCGTTTTACTAACACAATACACCACACGAAAAACAGGACAAGATGCAGCTATGCAGCACTGTCTAGGTGTAGGGGCTTGAGGAACAGACATCACTGAAAGAGGAAATCCATACCCACCTTCACCAAATCTGGACTTGATTTTGCATTAGATGCTGAATCAAGGATCATAGATTCGGCATGTATTCTGCGTAACCGGTCTTTAAGATCTGTGTTTTGTGCTATTGCCTGGAATATTTAACAAAAATATTTGGGATATAAAGTTCTCTCAACTAATTTGAACGTGGCTTTATTGTATAAAAAGGGGTGAAGAGTATTTAAAGTGCAGTATAAAACACCACCACCACCAGATTTTTTTACTGGTTCAGCAAATCATTTATTATAAATGCTTCAAATCTTGTTCCTTATCTATCAAATTAAAACTATTTTTGTTCAATGTGAGGGAAGAGACACATAAATGGAGGAAAAAAGCAAAAGATGGCAGGGATTTTTCAAGTTACCAGGTTTTGCAAGCTGATTTAATAAGTTATAAATTAATTTTGTGCATCTTTTCTTTTCAAGCTCCTTTCCTTCACCCCTGTCTCCAACCTAGCCTCTCTCAACATCAATTCTTACTCTTGCCACTTCCAAAACCACCTGATTTTCCCATCAGCTTGGTATACTAACAGTTGCTTTTGCCTTCCAGTGACAGAAATAAGATTTAAATTCAGACGGGTACAGAAACAATTTGTGTCCTATAGGCTTATAATGGCAATGACCAGAATAAAAAGTCTCTACTGCAAACTCACATTTGTTACATGTTATTTACTCATGCTGGGTGCATCTGACAGACAGGTGTCAGTTAGAGTAGACTTGTAGGACGAGAATACAACCCTGCCTGCAATGAAAATATCTCTAAAAAAAAAATTGGGTTACTAAATTTGGAACAATACTGAAGACTTACTGCCCATTTTAGTGATCTGAATCAATACCAGGATGTGGAGAGCCCTGCTGTTTACACACCTGCTTTGTCCCACATATGCTTCTGATTTTGACAGTAAATTTTTGCTGGAAATAGTCTTGAGGGAAGGAAAGACAGTAAGTTCCAAGTGATTATGAAGGGGAGGAAGTTGTTCCTGGCTTTACATATGTGTGGTCTGAATTCACCATACAGACATGTATCACTTCCCTGTCAAGTGTTCAAGCGGACAGCATTGAGTTATACCCACAACATCATATAAGTGCAAAAAAAAAATTTACTCAGCTTCCCTCTAATAGCATCTTCCAATTTTCATTGTTTGCTACAAAGTGTTTTCTTCCTTCTATTGTCTTCTTCCTCCCCCCAAAACAAAAATATTGTCCTTTTCCCCATTCTGTATTTGCTTTTCTTAGACTGCGTGTAGGTCAAGGATACTATCTTAATGAGGGAGAAGCAGAGGCAGAGATGCTAATTTTGTGGTGTTTTATCCACTTTAAATCTGTTCACTTTTCTTCCCTTGCCAGGCTGATGAGAGCAAAACAGACTTATGTTTGATAGCTTTCAACCCGTGAGTCTGATTTTTTGTTCCTCTTGAACAGAAAACAAATTGGAATGAGCAACAACAAACACTAAGTCAAAGTCATCAACATAGGACACTCTTGAAAGGGAGTCTTAGAAATATGTCAAGTTTATCATATCCATGCTTCCATACATCTTCAGAGGAAGCTTATTCCTTTCTGCTACCGGATCTCTGCTGTACAGTGTGAGATTTCTGCTGGCATCATGGCTTTACAGACCTGCAGGCTAAGAATAGCTCTCACAGGTGTTAACTTCTGCTGAAACTGCCAAGGCTCACAGATGACATCTGGATGGGCTACAAAAAGCTTATTAAGCATCAGATAAGACCTAAAAGCATGACTTCAAGACATTCAGAAGATGAAGACGGACAACAGAATTTTATTGCTCAGAAAAAAATGTCATGCTAAGCTGAGTGCTCACTGAGTTCAGAAATCTTAAAAATGGATTTTTTTATATAAAATGGTAGGCAAATAACACTGAGGAAATAAAAGTGACCCATTCAAATATCAGAAGTGGAACATCTGAAAGCCAAAACCAAAGAAGTAAAAGTGAGTGAGTACAGTTATTATACAACAGGTTTCAGCTTTCTCTAAATACTACAAAGACATCACAGCCTCTAAAGGTCTAGGCAAAAAGGCACGTTACACACTTAAAAAACTATAACCATATGCAGCTTTTGTAAAACAAAGGGATATATTCATACTGAAATAATTCTAAGATGATCTATATCACATTTATCAATGCCAGAGAGTCTCCACTGCCTCTGATTAGAAATTTGCAACACTGAAATTTTAAGACCATGGTAATAATGGCCCTCGTTGCTCTGAAATCAGATCACTGTTTGCTTGACACATTCAAACATGACCAGCCTGAAAGTTCTGGTCTCAAGCAATTATAAAAAGCACACCAACCAAAAACCCTACCTTTTTAAAGAGCACATTCTTTTGTCATTCAGAACTCTGCCCTAATAGCTCCATTGCTGCTTTTAGATCACTAACCGATAATTAAGGTCGGAAGTCAATATAAAGAAGCTGTACTTGAATTTGCTTTGCACTGTCTTGGTGCAGCATGGTGAAGCTCTAGTGCATTAGAAGGGACAGCTGAGTGCTTTCAGCCACTCTCACCTTTATTTTAAGCAAGTCATACGGTGAATACTTGACTGCTGTTTAGGAAAAGAAAAGGAAAAGGAAACCCGCACCCTACCAGAACTAAGTGATTAAACAGTGCACATTCTGAGAGAAAGTAGACTCGTCGTCACAGAGCAGCCCTCTGATTCTTAACATCAAATAATACAGATTATACCTAAATCAATCTGTCCCACTTCAGTGATTTCACAATACCTTTAACATTTAGAAGTCTTTGAAAAACATCATATATAACAACTTACTATGATTCAATACTGCAAATTCTAGCACAGAACAGATACTAAAGAAACAGAAATTAACTACTATAAAATTTAAAAGTAGTATCTGATGACAATGAAGCTTGCTGAACTTCAGCATGTTACTTACAGATGTTAAGGCATTCTTCAAGCCAACTATTTGTGCAGATGGTGATGAGGATACATCGTGCTCCAGCATCTGCTTCAGCTTTTCTCTCTCTGTAGATATGGTGCTGAAAGCTGACCTCAAGGTGAAGTAAACTAGAATCGTTTCATAAAAAAAAACCCAGTTAAAAACAGCTACCAATTGTATACATACCAGTTATGTAAAACTTCAATGACATATCATTTATGGTGACAGAAACAAGAATTTAGGTTGCGATATTATGGGTGGGTTACTAAAAACAGGTAATATTAATCAAGGTTATAGGGTAGACTTTTTAGTAGGAGAAATGTTTATGGTGAATGCTACCATGTTGACTATATTAGCCACAGTCAAAATTACTCTGATTATTTGTGACAGATGGCAACAAAGCTAACTAACCACATCTGCTCTTCACTTGCTTTTGTTCCCCAATTAGCTTGAATCTTCAGATGGTCATGACTCTATTCCACATTCCTTTAAGAATTCCAGTGGGGGAGAAGAGAGGGAAGAAAAAAAATGAAATAGAAAAAAAAATAATCAAAAAAAGCAGCTATAACACATGCTGTGCCACAGCTACTGGGTTAGTAGTTTCCCCACAAGCAAGTCAACTGTGGTGTTGAGTTTTGTTATCTCTTTTTGGGATAAAGCAATTTCAGTTTGTTAGATGATTTAGTGACTCAGCTCCTGAACATTGTGCATGTTACACTGCTACTTCTACTCCTTCCTGAGCCAGTTATCACCAGTCTGAAACATTTAAATCAAACAACAGATCATGCAGTTTTAAAATAATTTTAAAATCCCCATTTAAAGGGGAAATGCACTTTTTTTTTTTTTTTTTACTTTTAAGGCATTTAATCTTCTTTTTTAACCACAAGGAATAAAAATTTATTTGAGTAATGTTTGTTCATGTAGGATTTTAACATTTATCTAACTTGAGAATTAGAGGATTTGTAAGGGCCTAATCAAGCCTTGTAATACAGTCGTGACAACTGTCAGTGCAAAAACGTACCCATTTACAGGGAAACAGAGATACAAAATCCGAGCATGGATGCATGGAAAGGACAAAGAATGAGAAATCTCTGATACCTCTCTCTTCTAATCCACTGAGAGTTAACCTGAATCATCACCACTTCATTAAGTATTTGATGTAACCTAATTTACTCTTATAAGAAAGGTATATTTCAACACTGAAAACCATTACCAAAGCTAATTCTCATACTTATTTGAAGAAATCTTTAACAGTATCACAGGGGGTGGGGAGGAAGACGTATCCACTATGATCTATTTTATGTTAGCCTTTCATATGTGATGACATGACGAGAATCTTCAGTGACCTTAAATGTCATTTAGTATATAATAATTCTTGAAAATTTAAGTTAGTATACAACTTAATAAAGTACTAATGTTACATTTTATTTCATTTACACCAAAAGCTAAAGAAAAAGTTTTCTTCACTACCCCTTTTTTGGAAGGGGTGTGGTTTAAAGCAACTCTGGAAAAAAATTCTTTATACTCTTAATAAAACAATACTGTATTAAACAGTACCAAGTCAATTGTCCCCTCAATGCATCGGCCAACCTAACCAAAATTTCTGACATGGACATTTCAGGTAAGATGATCTCGAGTGGAAGATTTCTTTGCTCTGCTTAATAGCAACTTTTCCAACTGCACCCCACCCCCACTTCTTTTCTCCTTTTGGAAAACATACATCAGTTTTGACTATAATTAACTTCATAATATTTACTACTTTGATACATTTCTTACATAATGGAATCAAGATACAGCAGCACTAGAGGGGAAAAACAAGCAAAGAATGCTTATTAATAACTTCAACCATTATCTTGTGCAAAAGGGGACAAAGCCAATACTCCCAAAAGTCTTTCAGATGTAAATGCTTAAGTGACTTCCTCACTGAGATTACTTAAACAATAAAGATGTTTCTGGTGCGAGGGTGATGGAGCAAAGCACTGCTAATGAAGAATGATTTTGAGAAGAAACATTTCTAGCCAAGCTGCCCCTCTGGCTGCTTTACATGATTTTACTCTTCTGTATTCACTAAAAATAGGTTACTACCATAGCAACCCTAGCATCACCAACAAATGTTGACTCTGAAATACAGTGAAGCACACTGACTATACAAACATACATGTACTCATATACACACATATGCATGCAAACACAAAAGAATACAAATCTGCTGTTGTGTTTATAGCAACTGATTTTAGCATTTTTACCTTTCGGCAAAAAAATACAACCTAGGTTTTTAGCACATAAAACAAAGGGATGTCCTTCATTAAATAAAAAATAAGAAACCATGATGATTAAGCCACTTTTTTCCAATGAGTCAAGATCTCAACATTTGCAATTCCTCAAGGGAATTAAAGGAAGGGAGGGCATTTTCTGCTTTTTCTGAACATTAAACAGGAAGCATTCTCAGAAGTCACATCATTATTTAAATCGTGAAAGTATAAAACCACATGTGAAAGACAATTTCATTTACCTTTATGTGCAACGTGAAATAAGTCCTCTTGCATTTTAGTAAATTCTGATGATGTTTCAGAGCCATCAGAGTAATTTTTCTCCTCTACAAAATCTATTGTAGATAAGTTAGGATTGGAAGCATGCAGTCTCATAGGGGCAGAAAATACTGAAGGCACCTGTAAGGAGGACAGCCATTTGTGATGTTTTTCCAAACTGTACAGAAAATTTTGTCTTATTGTACCCACCTGGGTTACATATTGGAGACATCCAAAATGGAAAAACTACTGTCAATCACCAATAGGCTTGGAATGGATGACACCTAGCATATGAAACCATAAATAAAACTTTGCCCAAGCTATTGTAATTGGAGATTTGGCAAAACTCCAGGAACAAGCCCATTGAGAGCTGTAGCATATGCTATACTATTTTTCCCCACTTAGAAGTATCTAATCACATGGCCTCTGGATGCAAATGTGTACAAAACTATCTGGAGAACTTGCAAAAATCTGTACTAATAAAAAAAAACCCACCTCCACAACCCTTCAGATTGGAGGCAGAAGGTAGCAGCACAGATCCTATTGCAGATATCAATGACAATATATTTGTGTTTTGTCTGATATTTTACCACTTAAAATGAGCTAGCACAGAACACTACTTAGAAAGGATTCATATTCCCTGAACTGGTTACACCAAGAAGGGATCAATAACTAAGAAGTGGAGAAACACAGGTACTGAAAGGACTGAAGTTACCTGTAACGTTCCTTTAGCTTCTTTCCCAACAACTCTGGATCGCCACCTCCTGTGCGTTCTCTTTTCCTTCTTCGGGCTTTCAAAAGGTCCAACCTTTTAACAACACACAAAGGACAAAAATAATACAGATGGCCATAAAACTAGCAGAGCCAAGAATAAATACCTTGACCCTTTAGGATTTGGGGTTGGTTTTTGGAATTGCAAGGGGAAACTTTTTTTGGTTTTGTTTTTTAAACAACAAACCTGCATAGCATTTATAGCAGGCGCTGAATATGTCCTGTGAAGAACATCCATGCTCTGTAACAGCTGGTTCATTTCCAGTAAATATGTGTGACAGTTGGAGAGGTCTGTTTTGAACAAGAGAATATTTTCAGTTGCCCTAAAGTAACAGACACACTGAAAGTTTTTTTTCTTTGTAGGTTAGTCTTATTTTGATTGTAGCTAGCATAAGTTATTAATTGACTAAAAGCACATTACTAGATGACTGGATTAAAAGCTTGTATCCTTCTATCTTCAAGTTCAAATTCAAAATATGGAAATGCATCTATATGGTGTGTATAATGAACATGATATTTTATCCCAGTTGGTTGCAGAAAAATGAGAATAATGTGATTATTACTGCAGTTTGGGACGACTCAGAGCTCCTCGTGGTGAGGGTAACAGGCCTCAAGACTGAATTGCACATTCCAAGCTAGAGACAAAGCTCCTCTATATCAGAGCTGAAGCTCATTTTAGAAGTTTAGAACTTTACCAAGTAAGAAACACACAGTCACTACCAACATGAGAAAGATCTTCATTCTCTTAGGAAAGCATGAAAGCAGAAGATGACTTTGTAGTACAAAGATTTAGTGCTTTATAAACGACTAGATTTTGGATGCTTTCCTTTTTGAATACTCAACTTACGAAAGTTTGAATCTTACTACTGAAGATGATGTTCGTATATAAAAGAAAATGTACTGAAATACATAGGTTCCTTGAAGAAGTGCCCACAATTGATACCCCAACATCCAAAATCACTAGTCCTTTTGAAAACAAGTGAGCAGGCAGTTATTCAACCCCTTTCCTCCCTCCAGTTTCAGAGAAAACTCTAACTGTAATGACTACTTACAGTGTAGTACTCTCGTTGTCAAGAAAAACTAGGGGAAGAATTAGGCTACGTTCAACTTCCTTCAAATATCATTACCTCTTGAGCATTTTTCCATGTCTTCAGAAGACTGTAGCCAAGATGAAATCCTGGACTCATTACTCGAAAAGGAAAATGACAAGTTACCTCCAGCTGACAATGAATTCTGTTTGGTCAAGCTGCCTGCCTGTTCCAAAGAAGAACAAATAAATAATTAACAAACAATATTTTAATGCTGTATACACAAATTTTGACAACCGACTGTTGAGGTCTACGATCAAGGACAAGGACTGAAGGCAGCAATAACATGGAGGAAAAAACTGTATGAACTAGACTAGGTGTACAGTCATTGAGCATAATGTCAGGGTATCTAACCTAACTGCTGTCCACGAGCAGTGGAAATACTAAAGGAACCCTAAAAAATTGCTGGAAACTGAATTTTGAGGAAGGGCATAGTTCTGCATCAATTAAGCCAACTTAATACAATTAAAGCACCATATCTGAACATGGCCAAAGTTGGACATTCTGTTCCTTCTCCATGTTCCTCAAAGAAGCCCCAAAAGTAACTTAAACGTAACACGAACTTATTTGTTAAAGCTATTTTTCAGTGAAGAAAGCAAGATCTACTACATGTTATTTAAAAATTTTACTGAAGGTTGTATGAATTTAGAATGGATTTGGCTTGACAGGCCTTTATACATGTGTGACCATACACCTCATCTGGGTAAATACAACCCTTTTGTAACATCTCAGTAACCATTTTCAAACTCATGTCATTTTCAGCACTGCCCACTATCAGATGCTTCAGGAGATGCTGGAAATTCTCTGCAAGAGCTAATTGAGCATTATAATTCAGTAGTTTCCAATGGGAAGAAATTTCTGCCCGATACTACTACCAGTTGATTGTGGCCTATAGTGCTGTTTTCTTTAATGTAACTACAAATAATAGCCATTCAAATGCCTAATTATTTTTTGACCTTACTAAACCTTTCATCTTTAGTAGTATCTATGTCAGGAAGTTGTACAAATTACACACTTTGTCAACATCTTGTTTAAAATCAGTTATAAAATGTTTCATCTTAAGGGCCATTACATGACCATTTTACCAATTATGAGAAAAGCTGACTAAATTGTTTGGCTCTTCTCTAAAGCATACACTTTACAAACTTCGTTACCTCTTGCTCAGCTTATATCAAAACTCAGGTAGTACTAGTTTTAAATCTATTCATAGGAAACATCTACAAATCAGTCAGTTGCCTGAGTTTTCTTAGTTGGTCTTTTTAAATTTGCAATATAAGCTCCAACTTAGGTTGCAGAATAAAATAAAATGCACTATCCACATGATGCCATTCTGTACTATTTCAGTTTATATAGTCAGTATGCAATGGTAGTCAGGACCAATAAGCAGACATTTTAAATTTAATCTATGTAGTTTAGCTGTTTTATTCCTACATAAAGCTGTATGAGCTTTAGTCATCTATATACGTATAACGAAATAATAATCCCAATGTCTTTAAAAGCACAAGTAAACTGAATTTAAAGATGAGCAATTGTATTGGCATTTTGGTAAACAAAACCTACATTTATGTCTTCAGAAATCTATCTCATATGACCAGCTTTTCCAGAATTCACATACATGAGGGGCACGAGCAGGACAGAAGAAGGAAGTAGGCATTATCAAAAAATTACCAAGTAGGCAAGAGAGAGTTTGTATAGCTCCAGTTAGCATAGTTTTGCTTTTCATCAGCATGGCTAAGCTTTAGAATCCAAGCCTTCCACATACACTTATGTAGATACATAAACCTACCTCCCAACAACAACAAAAAAAAAACCAGATGTGAAAACTGATCAGGTGTTTCTAAAAGCAAATAAAATGCAATGCAAAGTTCACTCGATATATTTTTCTCAAAATAACCTAACTGCTGGATTGATATTAACTAACATCAAGCGAGGGCTAGTGTAAATTGGCAAACTTCCATTTAGTTTAAGCAGAGCTAAGATGATTAACTGCAGCTTAAGAACTATCCCCTTCTATTTTTCACATGAAAATAAATAGCGCTTCTTTGCAGTGCAAATCTGGATTAATAAATTAGAAGTGAATTAAAGTCTTTCATGCCAAAGAAGAAATGGTTAGTTTCCTGACAGCATACGAGCATAGATTTTCAGATATGCTGGTCACATGGATTTTTTTTTTTTCCTTTTTTTTTTTCTCTTTGAGAAACAGGCATAGAGATATTAATGGGCTTTGCAATGTTCCACTTTTGCCCTCGATATTCTTCTCCCCCTCTATCGCTGTTGTCTTTTGGGAGAAAAGAACTAAATGGCACACGAGGTTTGCCATTTCCTTGCAGACACAGCCTCAGAGGAGCAGGCTGTCAGAGCCACAGAGGTGCTGGCACCACAGCAAGCATGCAGACAGCTCTTTGCAGAACAGCCCCATACTACAGGGTGAGTTAACTGTTCCTTCAGCTGCCTGCTCACACAGATCCCCTCCCTCTCAGCCACTAGCAAAAAGCTCTTCAGGCACATGTTTGTGCTTGGTAAAACTCAGTTACAGGGTAGTCCTACCAAAATGATGAACTGCAGGTACTGGGGGACAAGCCCACTCAGATCATACAGCAATATAGCCAGGGAAAAGAAAACCCTAGATCGGAGGGTAACAAAGAGCTGATTGCTGCTTAGGAGACACTTCTGGAGTTGACAGAAACAGAGCACCATTTCAGTTATAATAAGTAACACAGTACTGGTAAAAAAGACATTCTCAAAAGAGATCACTGGTTCTAGACTGGAGCAGAAGAGCTTCTTTGGGTGAACATGAGACAGTCAATGTGCAGACAGCTGAAGGCACAGAGGTTGTGTTCAGGCACAGAACACAATCGCTTTTCCATGAGACTGCATCAAAGAGGTCAGTTACGGTGTCAGACTGAGCATTTGTCAGGTCATTTGTGAAACTAACAGTCACAGATTTTACCTAAAGAGAAGTACATTGCCAGCTGGACCCATCCAGACCCCGTACCCATCTACAGCATGGTCCTTGGATTGGTTTCAATAATTCTTCTACATCAGTTAAAAATATGAATAGTGGCCACAGGTGATGGCTCTTGGATAATTCCTATATACTCCTCAGTTAAGCACAGTCAGATTCATTAATGTAAAAGGGGAGAGGTTTTATTAGCTAAAGGATAAATGAAGAAATACTAAAGGGAAAAAAAAATCTGGCTGAGTGCTTTTCTGTAACCCAGACTAATATTCACCAGTACGTATCAGACAAATACTGATAGATATCTCAAAAATTATGAGGATTCTAACTCAATATCCAGTTTTTAAAAGTAATCATGAAAATATAATTTACTGCATTAAAACAATAAGACAATATTAGAAAATTTAACAGCATCATAGAGATAACTGCTTAGGAGTAAATCAATAAATAATATAATTTTCCTCTTGACATTTTAGTTCATAACTTAAAACCCACCACAAACTTCCATTATGATCTTTACTTAATAAACACAAATCAGACTAATTTAATCCCTGATGAAAGCTCATCATTACCTTTCTACCCGGAGTAGAATCGCAGAAGCCAGTGACAGAGTCCGCAGTAGTAGACACAGGAAAGAAAAGATTATTGACGTCATGAGGAAACATGGAGATTTCGTTCTGACGGTACATTCTGTGATGACGAAGTTTTGCTACCCATTCGTCAAACAGCTCCTGAGACTTCACCTACACAAAATTACAGGCTTTGTAACATTCACATTCAAAATCACTAACAAAGAAACTAAGGTATTTTGTGCTCATTAGACAGCTAGTCTGGCTGACCTTTATTGGCAAAATATCCAGAAAGTTTTTCTAATAATGCTCCTACTAAAGCATATACTGTGTGAGCTTAAGCATGACAGAAAATTAATCACAGGATAAAGTAAAGAAAAAAGAGAAACTTCAATTAGTATAGTATAGAACACAATACTTAGCAACTTCTAGATGGTAAAAGCCCCAATACAAATAAAAAAATAATAATTTTATATTTCTTAATTGCCATTTTTAAGGCTTAGTCAAAGTTTAACTAACCACAGATAGAAATTTGATTTTGGTGATGTATTTTAAAACAATTTATCCAACAGGATAGATAAATATACACATTTGACTGTGGAAAATACTTCCTATAGATAAGACAAAGAGCAAGATACAACTACTGAAAATAAAAGCACTTGTGCAACAAGTGCATACCCTACGCTGAAAAAAGGGCTGGGTGAATAGAGTGCTGCTAAACATAAGGCATCTTCAAAGTTTTTATTTAGAACAGGTTTACCGACTCTGGAACAGTACAATAAAGCCTCTCAAGTTATAAAGTGTAAACTAGTCTGCTGATACTAAAAAGTAAGTTATTAGTGTAACTAACAGACCTCCTACTGTTTAAAAAAAAAAAAAAAAAGGTCTCCACCATACACAGCTAATGTTGTTATTTTGGGAGCAAGGTTATAACAGTCTTGAAGGCCTACCTTCAGATGGTATATCTGCTCTTCTGTATCCAGATCTATACATTTTGTTGATTTCTTTACAGACATGACAGAAAGTCCAACATCAATACAGCCATGAAGTTTCCCTCTCTCTATCTGCAAAAAAGTAAAAAGAATACAATCACTCACTCCATAATAAAGCATAATAATAATAATAATAATGGCCTTATAGCATTCCAGATCACTTACATCAGCTTGGCATTTAGAATACTTCAAAATCCCTCTGTCCAAAAAGAAGTATCTCTGTAACCAGAAATGCAGAGATTTAAAAACAAACAAAAACAAACAAACACCCCCAAAAAACCCAAACAAAAAACCAACAACAACCCCACCCCCTATTTTTTTTGGAGAACACTTCCTCTGCTCTTAAGTAACCTTTTTGCCACAAAACCACACCAAGCAAGTCCCACTCACATGGCATCAGGCTTTCAGATACACATTCCTTTCCTACCTTGTGCCAGCCCTTCAAAGGCCATTTCCTCTTTTTCAGCAAGCAGCCCTCCTGTTTCTGTGGCTCCTGGGTACAATTCATTGCTCCCCGGAGTCCTTCTACAATTTCCCAGCTGTCCTGCTTAAACAGAAAATCCAAATGTAGAAGATCTTTTTTCTTCCAAAGAACAGAAATGTTACAAGAGATTCAAGAGGCTATATGTAAAAAACCCACCAAATTATGTTGAAATCTAACCTTAGATCCATGTTTCTGTACATACATACACACAGTGTATAGCCACAGCCTAGTCACAATTTTGCCTAAAAAGCCTTCTGCCATCACAGGCAGAAATAGTCTATGCTAAAAGGATATGTTTTGTAGGTTATGAAGCAGCAATAAAAGCAGCAACATAACAGAGAAGAGAATAAATCTTATAGCATTTTTACAGTTCTTATTTATGGAATGACTGCTAATGACAATGTAACACGAGTTTCAAGATGTCTCATCAGAGATCTCATGAATTATTTATTTCCAGCTACCATAGGATTTGACAGATATAGAATTATGAACAACAGACAGGAAATGGAATGTGCTAGTTAGTACTATCCCCATATATTCGAGAGACAAAGAATACTTTAACGTATAGAATTTAATGACAAAAAAGGACTGATATGAAACACTTCAGGGAAAACGGAATTATACCAGGTAGATAAGTACTTGTGGTCCTCCCTGTAAGATACATAGGGCAGTATTCCCCAAAAGAACTTGACTGACTCAAAAAAAGCTTTACAAGAAAAATGAAACAAAAAATCAGCTAGAGTGCTAGTTGTGCTCATTTATCCACCTCCGAATCCTTAAGAATCCCCCCTGGAAACCTAGGAAAAAAATTACATCAGGTAATACGCTCATTAATAAGTAACAAGGCATAACGGCAAACCATCTTCAAAAAGACATTCATTAAACAGCTTAAGGAACCTGATCTCTTATTCCACCACGTTACTGACGGCACTCCAGTATTTCATTATTAGCTTCACCGCACTTTATGGAACAAACTGGAAAGCTGCTCTGCTTCCCTGGCTTGAGCTCACTCGCCACACCACAGGCTGCAAGGAGTAGAATCATGGGGCCGATCAGCTCCCGTCATGCCACACCGTACAGACACCCAGTGACTTTCTACTACCTGAAGGTAAGTCAAAACTGCAGTTGTCCTAACTGAAATTGTTATCAGGGCACCCATTTTGTGCCCCTAAAGGTTTGCGTTCTGTCCTTGTCAGTTTTGTAACAAACAGCTTCTTCACCCTCTCCAGTCTGAAAGATATTTTGACAGCTACTCAGATACCATTATTTCTAACCAACAATTATGAAATCATGTTCTTCTGACTGAAAACCAGAAGTTGCACTCCATATTCATTATTTTTTATTTTTACTACTTTTGATATACCTCAGAAAATGGAATTTCTCACTGCGTGGGAAGAAGGAATTGCGTGTAATGGGATCCGGGGGTTAGAAGGAGCTAAGAGATAAGGAATTATTTGCCTTAGCAGCACATGAAACAAAGTGGTGACTATACCCCCAAAGAGGAGCTAAAAGACCAAGAAAAGGGGAACGTCCTGACTCAGAAGGCCCGGCCAAATTGCATGAGGTCAGCAAAGATCTGTGGTAGCTGAGGGAAAGGCAAAGGCGGTGAGGGGAGATTGCGACCACCGACTCAAATCAAACCCAAAGAGACTTGCCCCTCCCCCCCCAACAAGGAGCATGCGTGCTCATTTACCCAGCAAGTGATGCCAATTTAAATATAATTAACCAATAGCAAATGTTACAGCAATCGCTAGCCATTTGATATGAACTTTGGCAGGTTTTCTTTAATCTTGTAACAAGATAAATATGTGGCAACTTTTTGCAATGGTGTGCTAGCTTTGTGGAGTTACCACTTAGCACCTATCTCTGTGCAGAAATGAAATAAAAGCAAATACCTCGACTCAGCTACTCAAGCCTCCACCGTTAAGAACTGCCCCCCCCCCCATTTTTTTTTTGACAGAACATTCCAGACTACAACCTTGAAATCCAAAGAGAAATGATGTTCTACCACCTCTTTTGCCATAAATGTAAATATTAGGCTACTAAATGCTTTCTGTGGTGGTCTTGGATTTCTTTTTCCTGTTAAAGATTATTTATTAACCCTTATATAATCACAAGGATGGGGACTGTTAGGATGAGAGAGAGCAGCCTCTTTAAATATCATCAAATATAGTGTACTGCTACAATTTACCTTAACTAAGTAACAGCTGAACTTACTGCTGCTTATATGTCCACGTGTGGATAAAATCTCATCTCAGAAAATATGATCGACTGAATGAGCCAATATAAAAAATAGTCTTGACGTTAGTCAATGTCAAATTGGGGACTTGGAAAAAGGTAAACAGTTAAAAAAGTGAGAACCTGATGGAACTAGTGAAAGATAATTCTAATTAAGAACTAACAGGAGCATCTGCAAGATTAAGAAAAACACTGTGTTTATGTTTTTGTTTCTTTCTTCTTGAAATTAGCCAGAAGACCTTAAAAGCTGGTTTGCCTGATTACCAAGCAAGCTATTTCCCTTTCCTTAGCTGAAACATATTAAACTGCAGTACTCAAACATGTAACTTTTCCACTGAGAATTAACCTGATAGCAGTCAAGACTAGTGAACAGCAGATCCTTTTCAGTATTCCAGTGTTACACCTAATGAAGCAATTTGCTTGAACTTCGGATCAAGTTCTCACATACTTTGGTTAAGTTTAAACACAGTATATGGTTGATAGAGTGGTCTGTCTTGCAGGAGACAAGCAGAAATTTGAGCACAATCAAGAAAAACACAAGAATCCAGACTCACCTTTCTACAAGCTTAGAAAGAAAGGGACTCCTGAAGTGAGACAGACCCATGCTACATTGCACATATGAGGTGAAGAGAAGGAAGCAGCTGAGAAATAGCTCAGCCAATTGCACCCATCTGGAATATACATGGTATCAAATAGTTTTGGTATAACTTTTAAATACAGAGCACATCCTGGCCTGCGTTACAACTCCAATTTTGTCTGGGCCTCTCCTGCATTCCAGGCACATGGTATCTCCCTGCAGGAGAGCCACATTTCTCACTGTTCTGGTCAGTGAGGTGGCCAAGAAAGTACCTCCACAATTTGAAAGTGTGAAAATGGGAAGAAAAGCCGGAGTGGGAGCACTTCTTCCCATCAAGCAGGCCCAATGGCTTGCCAAATCTCAGGTGAAGGCGAGTCTCTTACTCTCATTTCTGCCCTGGGAACCTCACACTTCACTTGCAAGCTTTATGAAAAGGTAACTAGTTGAATTAGAAATGGATCCTTTTAAAAGCACAAGACTATTTAGTCAACTAAGTTACCCAAGTAAAGGCAAGGAATAGCTTGGAGAATTAACAGTATGGGGAACTGCTGGTTCAACACTGCAATAACAGCATCTGGTCCTCTTCCACATGCATCTGTCCAGAAGAGTCCAACCTTTCCCACCTGAACCCCCAAATTCCCACATTTTTCAAAACAACACTGCTACAAATTTTTTGGGGTCTGTTCACTCTTGACCCAAACCCTACAGGATCTTGATCAGTATTTTGTTTTGCAAGAGATCTGACATCTCATTTAATGAGGAAAAAGCATCAGTTGGCTATTGCTGAGAGCAGCTGCAGAAGCAAAAGAAAACTGCTTACTCTCTAAAACGAAGGCAAATGAATCAGGCTGGTCGGTTATCATCTGTTTTCATCTGTCTGAAATAGCAGAGGAGCAAACTGGAGATACAGGATTTCCTGAAAGCTACTGGAAGCATTCAGATTATGCTCCATTTTAAACTCCGAGCTGAATGGCATTAACAGTTCTAGCATAACCCTGATGTCCAGACTGGTCATGTCTTAAGGTTATAATGCTGCAAAAGATGTTGTATCATTATGGGCCAATATCTGCACAAAATGATCAACACTGCATTTGCTGCCCAGGCAGAAATTTCACTTGCGGCTGAGAAGGGAACACAGTCTTTACTTTTCTCAGGTCCAGAGGTGCTCATTTCAGATCAGCACTGGAAAATCACCCTGTACTTGCTACTTGGCTTATACCTGCTCTGTGGCCAAGGAATAAAAACCATACACTTTGGTCTTCAGTGAGAAGTCTGTCATTAGGTAACTGTAGTAATTTTCTTCGTTTAACAAAATAAAAGCCTTCTCATTTTCTGCAATATTCTTTACCATACAGCTCCTCAAGGCAAATTATTTCAGGAGAAAGAATGAAGTAATGAGTTTGAACGGCTCTCAGACCGATGCTTGCAGTTGCAGCTCCCTGAACGAAACAGATGACAGTGCCAGACTTTCTTCCAGTGTAAAATGCAGTCAGTTGTACCGAATATTTTAAAGTGCCAAAAATAGAAACCTGCTTTGTGGAGGATAAGGGTTGGCATCAGCTGCAACTAAAGCATTTGTTACGGTTCATAAAATTGGCAGAAATGATTTAATTTTCTATTTTAGAGCACGAGTTTTTTTAAGAGGCTCTCCTGACATAAAGCTTTTCCCTACTGAATCTATTTTAAAAGTTAGTTAACATATTAGATTTAAAAAATAACTGCCATGATATATCTTCCTTTGATCACAGGTCAATTTAAATTTAACGAAGATCAACACCAGTTTTCCTTCCTCACAGAACATGGTTTGAGTTGTGGCTTTATGGAAGAGATCCCTTCCCATGACTGAAGGAGGGGGGCAGAGAAGAGCAGAGAGGTGGGAAGTGGCAGTAGCCTCCAAGCTGCTACAGGGCTTCAAGGTGAAGGTGATTTTAGTAGAATAGGATTAACTGTTAACCTCTTCAGTTCAGGCTGCAAATGTGTTGCATCCGGCAGAAAAGGGGCACTGAGTGCAGCAAAAAGGAGGAGTAGGCCCCTCCAAGTCCTGCAGCCTTGCTTAAGTCAACTCCTTTCTAGCACAATGGCCCATCTTCTGCACCACAGGACCATGCTCCACGACTCATACCAGCGACACACCAACACATAACTAAATTTCAGCAGACACAGCAGCCTTACACCACTGTGATTCCATATGCCAATCTCAGGTCACTTATTTGGTGCTAGTGTCGACTGGCAACAAAGTCTGTGCCAAGGAAATCAGAGGGACTCAAAACTCAGATCCCACTATTTTTTGGGCAACCTCGACACCACCCCATCCCCCCCCC